GGGGGGGGAGAGCGAGGGGAGGGACTAGTCGCTCCCACCACGGCCTCGCTGCCTCCTGCTCCTTACACATCCCACATCGCTTATCGCGCACCGTACCGCGGCTCTTCGACACAGTAACAGTCACGGCCACGACGAGATCCACCCGCCATAGAGGAGGAGCGACGGAGGATCGGGCCCGTCAACACCACCACCATCACCGCGACCCATCACCACCATCACCACCATCATCACCACCATCATCACCACCACCATCACCACCACCATCATCATCACCACCATCATCACCACCAACCATCATCATCACCACCACCGCCGCTGCCGCCATACACCCATGCCCAGCCATCGACCAGTCCTTACCTCCTCACCCGATTCCGGCAAACGCACCGCTCCGTTTGTTCGGCAGCCGAATAACTCAGACCACACACCCACACCCGCAGCCGCAGCCGCAGTCGCAGCCACAACCACCGCTATCGCCACCCCACTCCACCAGCCCACCACTCCCCTCCTCTCGCCTCCACATGGCTTCTCGTCCTCTGCTATGCTCTGGCATGTGGCTGTTCCTCTTGTGCTGCCTGGTCGCCCTGCTTGCTACCGCCGCACTTGGCCAGAGCCTCCCCGACGATGCGGTCGTTCTGCTCGACGTGGACATCCTGGCACCCGAGGCTGAGCTTGCTGGCGAGTATCGGGTCTTTGCGCACTCGAGCTACGAGATCCAGGTAGTGGCCTATGTCCGCGAGGGTGGCACAGACAAGTTCTGCGATGGATCTGGCTGTGCCATCGATCTAGGCTTCTCCGTCCCGCTCGGCACCGTCTCGTACGTCGCCGTCACCTCGTCCATCGTCTCGCGGCAGACCGTGACCTTTGACACGCCGGGCTACTACACGCTCAATGTCTCGGCCACCTATATTGATACCGGCGCGGGCTCTATCAACGAGGACGACCACGCGCTCAGCTATCGCTTGCTCGACAAGCCCATCCACGCCGTCGCCCAGCCGGTCGCCTCGCTCAGCTTTCCGCTCGCCACCTCGGTGACGGCAGCCACCCCATTCGCCACCCTGGTCTCGTTCACCGCCTCGGACGACAATACCACGTTCCACTCGGTCGCTCTCTCGCCGGCCGCCCATCTCGCCTCCTCCATCGGCTCTGAAATCCTCAACGAGCGCATCGACGTCATCGCCGCAGCCTGGCCGGTGGTCTTTGTCAACGAGCACCTGGTTGCCAGCGCCGCCACCACGTACTCCCTCATTCACACCACCACCTCGTCGCTTGGTGGTACGAACACAACCATCTACCCTTCCGCCATTACTGTCTACCCGGCTCCGGCCATCGCCTCGGCTCTAGTCCCGCCCTCCGGCTCGTCCCGCACCACTGCCTCCACCCTTGCCCTCCCGCTCCAGGTGTACATCGATCCGGCAACGGGCGTTCCGCCCTACACCTACTCAGTCTCCATCTGGTCGGCCGACGGCTCGGCAGAGCTCCTTCCCAATGTTGTTGCTGATGTGGTGAGTCCGGCCTCGCGCTCAGATTCCGCCTACAATGCTTCGTTCCCGCTCCCAGTCTCGGCTTTTGCCGCCGTCACGCTCCCGCACGACGTCGTTGCAAGGGTCACCCTTGTCGACGCCGCCGGCGCGCCCGCCACCTCAGTCGGCCAATCACTTCCAATCACCGTCGTTCCGCCAGCTACCGTCATTGGCTCCGTCACTCCTCTGGTGCCCTCCCCCGCGCTCCTCACCGCCGGTGCCACCATTGCCGTCTCTGTCGATCGTGACCCCGCCCACCCGCTTGCAGGCTCCGACCCGTTCACTGCGTCGTGGGACATTGTCCGGCTCTCCGACGGCGCAGTCTTCTCGCTTGCTGCGGCCACCACGGCTTCGCCGCTCAACATCACCCTCGACCCATCGATCCTCGCATCGCCGACCGACGCTGCCGCTTTCAACATCACCCTCTCCGTCGTCGACTCGGCTGGCGTCACCGCTGTTGCCTCGGTCCCCGGCTGGTCGCCCACCACTGTCGCTCCGCAGCCGCAGGCCGCCATCGCCCTCCCACCGTCGGCGTCCGCCCCGGTTAGCGTCGCCCACACCGGCTCGATCACGGTGGATGCTTCTGTCACACACGGCATCGCGCCCTACGCTGCCACTATCTCGCTCCGCAATCCCGCGGCGCCGACTGTTCCCGTCTTCTCCTACAACGTGGTTCTCGCTAACTCGTCCGTCACAAAAGTCACCTTTGCGCTGCCCGACTCAATTCCGCCGGCTTCGGACTACCGCCTTGCTCTCGATGCCGTCGACATGCTTGGCGTCACCGCCTCGGTCATCAACGCCGCCGCCACCGTCTCGGTCTACTCGCGCCCCAACGCGACCCTCGCTCTGGATGCGCCGGGTGCTGTCGTCACCGAGGGCACTTCTGTTGCGCTCACCGTCGCTCCGGCCGCTGGTGCAGGCATCGGCGCGCCGTACGCGCTTGTCTTCTCCCTCCTTGACGCCAACACGCTTCAAGTACTCTCCGCAAATCTAGCAACTGCGACCTACGCCTCGGGCACGGCGCCCATGGACATCTCAATTCCACTGGGGGCTAGCTGGCCGGCGCCGTCACTTCTCACTGGCCTTGCTACCGTCCCGGCCTCGGTCCGCCTCGGTGTTGTCCTCACCGACGCCTCGGGTGCTGTCTCGGCCCGCATCGTCACCCCGGCGTCAATCTCGCTGGCTGCCCAGCTCGCCGCAGCCATCGCGCCGGTCAATGGCGTCGGTGCCACCACCGCTACAATCCCCACAGCCATCGCCGTTGAAGCTGTCACAGGCGGCGTCGCGCCGTACATCTACGCGTGGTCGGTCGGAAACTCTGACAGCCCGCCGACCATGACACCGATCGTCGGCAACTCGCCCAACATCTCGTTTACCTTTGACCCCAGCTATCTGCCCGCGCCGGGTGTCTCTGGCACCGCTGCGATCCGGCTGCTAGTGACCGATGCCACCGGCGCGTCGATTGTCGCCAACGCCAGCGTCACCGTCGCGCCCTCGCCGCATGTTTCGGCGCTTGCCTTGGCCCCGGCCCTCTTTTCCGCCACCGCCCCGCTCACACTATCGGGGTCCATCACTGCTGGCGTCGCGCCCTACTCGGTCTCGCTGCGGCCGTACACTCGCGAAGGCGTCGCCATCCCGCTGCCGGACACTCTGCTCGCCGCGCTCACTTTTGAGCTGGCCCGCGGCTCGGCGTTCTCGCTCACAACTACCCTCAACGACACCTTTATCGATGTGCTTGCTGCAGCCGGTGTGTCCACAGCCAGCGATGGTGGACTTGAGCTCTCCTTCCGCGCCACCGTGGTTGACGCCGCAGGTGCCACCGCTGTCATCGATGGCTCGGGCACCAACATCGACGCAACTGCCTACCGCGCGCCCACTGTTGCGCTACAGGTCCCGGCCACCCCAGTGCCGAACCGCTCAAACGCGTCGCTGGTCGGCCACTCGGTTGTCGGCGGTGTGCCGACAGGCACGTGGACCTTTGCATTTGCCGTCGGCGATGGCACGTCTCTCTACGGGTTGTTTGTGACAACAACGTCGAACATTCCGCAGCCACTTGCCTCCATCGCCGCACCGGTCCCGCTTGCGGTCCCTGATGCCATTCTCGCCGACGGCGTACGCCTCCCCGCCACCCTCACCGTCACGGATCCATCGGGCGCCATCGCCGTCGCCACCGCTGTTCTCACCGTCGAGCCTAGTGTCAGCGAGACCTTTGCGCCCGCGTCGTCCTCGTCTCCGTCTGGCCCGGACACAACGCTCATTTTCATCATCGTTGGTGCCGTTGCCGGCTGCTGCTGTCTCATCCTCATCCTCCTCGCTCTGCTCTACTTTCTCCGCACACGGGCTCGGTCCGACGATGACAAACCGGCCAAAAGACAGCGGCGCGGCACCCGGCCTCATGCTCGCTCTCCGACTCCACGTCCGGTGCGCTCGAGGCTGCCTTTGACGGCACCGTCGACACTGTTGACACCGACGGTGTCCTCACCAACGTCACGCTGCACGATCTATTCAAGGATGTGCTCAATGCTGTCGAGGATGCTGAGGCCTACATCGAACACCGCCAGTCGCGCACGGACGACTGGTCGTCTGCTTCATCATGCGACCCGCGGTATCTCGCCATCAGCGATACCGGCCCCGCCTCGACCATCATCGATGCCTCGGTCTCTTCATCGACTGCAGACTCGTCGTTTGATCAGATGTGGTCCGCCTCCTCCAGCAGATGACAATACTGGGCGCACATACACACACGCTTACACTAGTGTCACGCGCACGCACACACACTCTCTCTCTCTCCCTCTTTCTCTCTTTGATTCCTCACCTCTTGCCCAGCACTGCCCTTTGATGCCGCGATGCCCCCCCACACATGTCGCTCGAATGGCGATTGTGGGTCGCCGCCACCGACACAGCCGCCCATGCCGCAGTCTTGGACATGGTCGCCCCGCTTGTAGGGGTCACCGACGATGACCTCGACGCCTCCTATCCCTCGCACCTGTCTTCTCCAGGCCTAGAGCGCCGCGTTGACACCTACTATGCTTTCGCCGGCTGTGAGGCCTGCGGCGTCAAGCTCCGCTCCGGCACTCGCCTCGAGGCCAAGATCCTCCGTATGTGACTGCCCTTCCCACCAACATCATTCCCATCCCCACCCCACACACTCACACTCATCTGCCGTAATACTGCTCAGTCGAGACGGGCGAGGGTGGTGTCGAGCTTTGGCGCAAGGTCCGTGCGCCGCCGCCGGCTTCCGAGTCGCCGGCCCATGTCGCACTCGCCTTGGAAGACATACTCCCGGAAGCCGCGGCGGCCTTGCGGAACGCTGTGGAGCTGACTGAGAAACCGCAGTCGATGCGTATTGATACCGTCAAGCGTCGCCGGTCGGCCAGTGTCGCCAACGCCTGGATCGAGCTCACCCGTGTCGAGCTCCTCTCCCACTTGGGTGCGCAGCTGTGGAACGGCATCACGGTTGCCATCGAGGCCAGAAGCTCGGGCAGCGTACTCGACTGCGCCCAATCTCTTGGTCTTGCACGCCTCGTCGACGCGAACCCATCCATTGTTATGGCCTCATACCCCGCCTTCATCGCTGCTCAAGCCCTGACTGAGGACACCGGCGATGCTCCATCCTCATCAGCCATGGTTGATGAGTAGCACTTCTGATCCACTCACTTGTGATTCACTCTCAGGCCCCGTGTACCCTTTATGCGCTGGCCCCCAACCGGCCGCTACAGTACAGAGGAAGTGCCGCTGCGTCAACGATGGGCACCATGACCGAGAAAATAATTGCTCACCTCCCTACTCCAGTCACATCACGCCATTTTGCCGAGCCAATTCTTCGTGAGCCACTTCTCTCTTCCCCCCCTCCACCACCACTACCGCCACCCACGACCGGCACCCTACCACCTGCCATACACACACACACACACACACACACACACAGACAAACACACACACACGCACGCACGCACACACACACACACACCTCCCCTTCCCCCCCCAAAAAAAAAACCCCAAACCCCCAAACCCCCCAACCCTGCTTTGCTGGAAACCTGCATATGGCCCGCTTTCGTTGCCGACCGGGTATTGGCCTCACACGCACGGCACTGGCCGCTGTTCTACTTGCTCTCGCTCTGCTCACGGTAGAAGTCATCGGTGCAGTACAAAGCACGTCCTGGAGGTCCGTCTCCTCTTCCAGAACACGGGGCTCACCATCTGTTCAGGAATGGTCTGGCGTGTCGAACATCGAGGGCACCACAGCCAGTTTTGCCCATGTCGCCCTCGACGGCTCCGGCACCGCCAGCGATCAAGCGGCCAAGTACATCTGCGGCATGAACTTGGCCGGCTCGGTGCCGTTGGGTATGGTCCTGACAGGCATTGAGGCGCGTATCAAGGTCCAGGTTGATCCTAACTGGAACGATGCGGGAACGTCCGACGTCCGCGTTACTCACGCACGCTTCTTCTACACGCCCGGCTCGTTTGTCGAGAAGACAACGATTGGCAACGTTCCCACCACCGCGGGGTGGGTCACAGCCGGGTCAGCACAGACACCTGGAATGTTCCGACAAAGATGACCGAGTCCACTTGGAGCAGCCTGGAAATGTGTTTCCGCATCAAGGACTTTACCAACTGTGGTGCTACCTGTGGCTTCAACGCGCATCGCGCGTACGAGCTCCACGTCAAAGCCAGCTACAATGACGATCCCACTCGCTGCCCGATCCAGGTCATTCCTGGGGTCACTCTCGCCTGCCCCAAGGCTCAAGCGTATAGTTCAGTGTGTACCGCCACGGCCAACATGGGCTACGAGATTATTGGTGATACGTCGACCACCTGTGGTGCTGATGGCAGCTGGTCGCCATCGATATCAGCGAGCAAGCTGTCGCCATACTGTCCTGTTCCGGCCACCACCGCGGCCTACTCTACGAGCTCGTGCACCGGTGAGCTCGACACGTCGTGTACCATCACTTGCAACAGTGGCTACGGCAGCCCGGCGAACGCAAATTCGGGTACTTGCCTCGCCAGCACGTCGTCAGCCGGTCAGTGGACTAATGACCCTTGGAACCCAGCGTGCTACAAGATCCATGACTGGTGCCCAGCCCTTCCGTCAGTGGCCGACGGTGTGATTTCCTGCACCACACCGGCCTCACGTCGGATCGGCGATATTTGTGCCTTGACCTGCAACACCGGGTACGCTCCAGCCGGTTCGTCCACGCGCCAGTGCTCTGGCTCGCGCGCGTGGAGCGGCAGTAGTCATTTCGCCTGCGCCAGTACCCCCAACTTTTGCAGTCCCATCACAGGCGCAAACTCGTCGCCGACCCAGTCGTGCAACGGATACATCAACGAGGTCTGCTCTTTTGCATGCGTCGACGGCTACCAGGACACCGAGAGCTATACCTGCCAGAGCAACACGAACTGGTCGCCATCGAATACAGGCTCTTGTACCATCGTCAATGGGTACTGTCCAGCACTCGCAGTGCCAAGCAACGGCAACGCCATTTCTTACTCAAACCCGAACCGCGTCATCAACACCGTCGCCACCCTCGGCTGCAACAATGGATATACTCCGACCGGCGGAGATGCGACCCGCGTTTGTCAGGTCGGTGGCGTCGGAGTCGGCCAAGGATTGTGGGAGACGCCGCTCTCTGCATGCGGAAGAGTCAACAACTACTGCACTGTGTTCACCGTCGCCAACGCTGTTGTCTCGGGCGGCTGCGGCCGCCGAGTCGCAGACTCGTGCTCGTACACCTGCAACCCAGGCTATGTTGACGCCTCTACCGGCAGTGCCACGTGCTCACCCAGCACCGCGTCGTTTGGCGTCTGGAGTCCAACCTCGGTCTGCGACACCGTCGCCAACTACTGCCCCGCCGCACCTGCTGTTGCTAACGGTGTCGTCTCATCGCCCAATCGCGAGATCGGCGACTCTGCCACGCTCACCTGCAACTTTGGATACCAGCCGGTCGGCGGTGTCTCCACGCAGCTGTGCTCTGAAGGTGGAGCTACTGCCGGGACCGGCACATGGGCGCCAACCCTCGCATGTGAGCGCAAGCCTGACTACTGCGATACCCTCTCCGTGAGCAAGGCTGCTGTCAACACCCCGTGCGGCCGCCTTGTTGGCGACTCGTGCACGTACTCCTGCAATGTCGGCTACGAAGACACATCGACTGGGTCAACCACCTGCTCCATCGTCGATGCCACCTCGGGTGCCTGGAGCCCAACGCCTGGATGTGTCATCACTGCCGGCTACTGTCCAGTCCTCGCCGCTCCACCGTCCGGAACCATTTCCTACGGATCTACCCGCCACTACATGGACGTTGTCACGTTGACTTGCAATACGGGATACATTCCCACCGCCGCTCACACTCAGCGTACTTGCCAGGCGAATCAGGCCTGGAGTGGAAACGCGTTCTCCTGCTCACCGCAACCCAACTACTGCTCGGCTCTATCCGTCGGTAACGGTGTTCCTGACGGAGGCTGTGTCCGCGAGATCACCCAGTCCTGCTCCTACTCGTGCAACGCCGGTTACCAGGCTGCCAATGCTGGCTCGACCACGTGCACCGTCGGGCCAGCATGGTCGCCACCCACCCAATGCTCCACCTTTTCGGGCTACTGCCCGTCGCTCGCCACGCCCACAAACGCCATCGGTATCAGCTATGCCTCCGGCCGCGAGCTCGGCGACCTTGCCACCCTCTCCTGCACCGACGGCTACGAGCCGTCGGCTGGCCAGTCGACCCGAACTTGCGGTCCCGGGGGTGCTGGAGTTGGCGACGGCACCTGGTCCGACTTGCCATTTGCCTGCGTCCGCAAGCCAGACTACTGTGTCCCGCTCTCGGTCGCAAATGGTGTCGAGACGCCCGGCTGTGGTCACAAGATCGACGACGTCTGCGCCGTCACTTGTTCTAGCGGCTACGAAGACTCGAGCGCATCCGGTCCGGATTATACCTGCCAGGCTGCTTCCCAGTTGAGCGGAGCATGGTCCGGCTCGCCGTTGTGCACCAAGATCTCCGGCTACTGTCTCGTCATTCCTCCACCGGCATTCGCGATAGGCATCGGCTACGGCAACAATCGCGAGCTGGGCGATACCGCGACGCTGACCTGCAACAACGGGTACGTGCCGCAAGGCGGAAACAGTGTACAGACTTGTGGAGCCAGCTCGCCATCCAACGGCGCGTGGAGTGGGCCGGCCTTTGCCTGCATTCGCAAGATCAACTACTGCGCCGACCTTGCCGGCGCCAACGGGATGCCGGTCCCGGGCTGCATGCGCCGGATTGGTGACACCTGCCTCTTTGACTGCGGCCACGGGTTCATGGATGTCGGCCACGCCGCCTCGGGCTACAACTGCACCGCGCTTTCGGCTGCCAATGGAGTGTGGGATGGCGCGCCGGCGTGCTTGCTCATTCCCAACTACTGCGCGCCGCAGGCGATTGTGCCCGACGGCAGCGTTAACTGCACCACGGCGTTCCTCGGCGACACCTGCGAGCTGACGTGTAACACCGGGTACCAGGCGGTGGGCGGATCACAGCGGACGTGTCTGGCGGCGGCCGAGTGGTTCGGTACGTGGTCGGGCGACGCGCTCGATTGCGAGAAGATCCCAGACTACTGCACGCTGCCGGCCGGGGCGTACGGCAGTCCTGCCGGGACGTGTGGGCAGGAGCTCGGCAATGGATGCTACTATACATGCGACGCCGGCTACCGGTCGCAGGTCCTGGTCAACGCAACGCGGACGTGCTCCGTGGGCTCGCAAGGCTCGGGCGGTGGAGCCTGGGTGCCGCCGTTCCCAGACCCGCTCTGCGTGCCGCTGCCGTGCCGGAACCTCCCGCTGCTGGGTAACGGGACGCTTGTGCCGCAGTATGGTGCCGTGACTCTCGACACGGTGGATGCGACGTGCAACGAAGGCTACACGCTCGTCGGCGAGACTGTGCTGGCGTGCGAAGCCGATCCGCTTGACACCATCTGGTCGGCGTGGTCGGCGCCGGTCCCGTACTGCGAGCCGAACAACTGTACTGCGTCCGAGGTTCCAGTCGACGGGTATGTGGTGCCGTCGCTGGTGATCTCGACGGACGCATGGGTCTCGTACGGGTGTGATCCGGGCTTTGAGCTGTGGGGCAACACCGCGCGGCGGTGCTTGCCGAGCGGCGAGCTCTCGGGAACGCTCCCTTCATGTGAGCCTGTGCTCTGTCCGACCAACTTTACGGCGCCCGGCAACGGGTCGATGGTGCCCGGGAGCGGCGGGGCGGTGACGCGCGACTCGGTCACGTTTGCCTGCAACACCGGGTACTTTTTTGTGGGACAGACTGTGCGGACGTGCGAGCAGGGCAACGCGACGGTGCCCAATGCGTGGTCGCACTCGGACTACCTCAAGTGCATCGGCCAGCCGTGTTATCCCAAACTCGAGGACCCTATCAACGGGAAAGTCTCGACTCATTTTGGCGAGTTCCAGGACATCGCCCGCTACGAGTGCAACGCCGGCTATGAGCTTAACGGCAACGTGACTCGGATGTGCGCATCATGGGGTAACTGGACGGTCACACCGCCGGTCTGCGATCCTCTTCCCTGTCCCACCGTCATTCAGCCGCTGAACCAGGACATGCTGTATTTTGACTCTGACGAGAGCAAGACGGTGCTCGACGGCATGACCACCGATCTGCACCACGTCATGTGTAAGGCTGGCTTTGTCTTTTCGCCGGGCGTTCATGAGCTGTCAATGCAGTGTTTGCCTGCGCCCAACAACCCGGCTTATCCACTGGCCGTCGACTGGTTCCCTCAGCTGCCGACCTGCATCCCGCTCCCATGCCCGCCGCTGTCTGCGCCGGCTAACGGACAGGTCTCGGCAGCGGGCGGCGTCACCCGTGACACAGTGACGTATGCCTGCGATCCGGGCTACTACATTGCCGAGCGCGGCGACCAGATGGTGTACCAAATGACTGTCACCTGCCTCCCCGACACCCGGGCTCTCTCGCGATGGTCCGAGCCGCAGCCGCGGTGCGTCAAGATGCCCAACTACTGCCCGTCGGTCGGCCCGGCCGACAACGGGCAGATCTCGCTCTCGGTCCCGTCGCCTAGCCTCGAGTGGGGCAAGGACGAGTGGATCACGGCGTCTGCATGCACCGAAACACTCGGTGATGGATGCGGCAAGTTTGTGTGCAACGCCGGGTTCCAGCGAGTCGGTCCGGCAACCATCGAGTGTACCGTTGGCGCCCAGCAGGTCGGGCTCTGGTCGCCGGAGCTGCCATCAGCGGCAGAATGGTGTGAGCCGTGCCCCGAGGGTACGTACAAGTCGTTCAGCGCCCGCGACGTCGCCGAGTGGCAGTGCATCCCGTGCCCACTCGGCGGGTACTGCGCCGGTGGTGGGTCGATCCCGATCGCCGCGCCTGGGTGGTGGCAGAATCCGGACACGGGCGGCTTCCTCACTTGTGTCCCAATGACCAACTGTCTGCAGGGCGCGTGCCGGGGCGGACATCGCGGGTTCAAGTGCGAGCTTTGCGAGAACGGGTGGTACAAGAAGGACGGCACCAACTGCGTGGTTTGTCCGCCGGCCAAGCAGGTGGTGTACCCGATTCTGATTGTGCTCGCGATCTGTCTCTGTGTGCTCTTGGTCAAGCTCGCGCGCAAGTCGACGCACTACTTTGCGTCGCTGGCGGTAGGTGCCTCGTTCCTGCAAATGATCTCAATCCTGCCGTCGTTTGGCATCGAGTGGCCGAGCTTTGTCAAGTCGTTCTTCAACGTCTTCCAGATTCTGGCCCTCAACCTCTCGCAGTTTTTTGAGCCACAGTGCATGGTGGACCAGGGCTCGTCGCCGTTCCTGCTGGTGTGGGCGATCAAGATGTCGCTTCCACTCATCTTCAGCGCCATCTTCCTGTTTGGCGGCGGGCTGGCGAGCGCGTACTACCTGATCCGCAAGTGCGTGCCGACCCGGAAACTGGAGCAGTGCTCGCCGCGGCTGGCGGGCTGGTTCCCGGAGCTGTCGAAGCTGGGACTCAAGGTGGTGCTCTGGTCGTGCCTCAATGCATTCCTCACCTGCTTGGTCCTCTGCTACATTGTGCTTACGTCTGCGGCACTCTCGATTTTCGGATGCACCCGGCAGGCAGACGGGACGCTGACGATGAACGCCGAGCCTGCGATGACATGCAAGAGCAAGACGTGGAACAACATGGTGGCAGTCTCTGTTGTGGCGTTGCTCCTGTACGGAGTCGGCTTCCCGGCCACGGTGTTCTGGGTTTTGCGGACCCGGCGGTACTCGCTGTGGAAGGAGAAGAATGTGATCCGATACGGGCTGCTGTACCAGCGGTATCTCCGCAAGTTCTACCTGTACGAGCTCGTGCTCATTGTGCGCAAGTTCCTGTTTGTGTTTGGCAAAGCGCTGTTCCCGGGCTCGCCGCAAGCGCAGATCATCTGGGCCATGTGCACGGTTCTACTGGGCTCGGGAGTGCAGTACATGTTTGCACCGTTCCGCGACTGGCACATCAACTGGCTGGAGCAGCTGCACCTTGTATCTGCTGCGTTCATTCTCATGCTGGGAGTGGTGTTTGACTCGACCGCGTCGTCGATGTCGGAGTCTGGACGGACCACGCTTGGGATCATCATCATCTGCATCATTGTCATCAACATTGTGGTGATGGGGGTGGCGGTGGGCATGGCGCTGCGTGTGCAGTACAAGCTGATGCGACACGGGGTGTCGGGTGGGTACGCGTCGGACGAGCTGCGGGTCATGCCGATTTTCTTTAAGTTTGACATGCGGATTGTGGAGCGGCAGCGGAGGGTCACGCCGCACTCCATCCTGTGGACGCTGGAGCTGACGACAAAGCGGCCACTGCCGCTGGCAACGACGCTGCTGCGCGACTCGATTGCACTGGGTGCGACGGTGGAGGAGGTCTTGCACAACGTTGAGGGCGAGCCTGAGCGATACGCCCGCGTGGAGCAGAGCGAGGATCTGATGACGACGTATGCGTGGTACCTCATCCCGTGCCGGGGAGTGTACTCGGCGCGACTGCTGGTCGACGGCGAGCGGGTGAGCGAGCTGGTGGCTCGGGGGACGTACACCGAGGACGAGCAGGCGGCGCTGGAGCAGGCGCTGTCGTCGGAGAACGCCGAACTGGCCAAGTTCCGGGCATCGCGGCAGCGTGA